AGATGAGATTGACCCCTGAATAAATTTTTGAAGGTGGTTATGGGTTTTGTCATCACTGACACAGAAATAGATGTTTGCTGCAAGATTTACTAGTGTTAGTCATGAGAGTGCTGGTTTGTCTTCCTGTTTTCTCTTAATTTTTCTTAGGTTTCCTTCACAGAGAGATGGAAGTGTCTGTCCTCACCCTGCTTTTTTAATGTGGTAGCTAGAAGGCATTATTCATCCAGTGAAATAAAAGTATCTGGGCAAGATTTAGTTCCTTGAGGAGTATGTTTTTTGACTGGCGTTTAAATGTGCTAAGTGCCCTCATAATGGATCACGCTGTTTAGCACTGCAACTCCTCTCCCATTTTTCTCCCAAAGAGATAGAAGTTGTCTCTCTTTAGGAAAAAAAGAGGGAGAATTTTACCTATGTCAAAAGATCAAAAGACTTCCTAGTTTCTTGTCTACTTCTTGTAAAAGGAACTTGCATTATATGGTGATAGATGATTTTCAGGCTCAGTTCAAGCATTTAAACCAAATTGCTGTGGGGCTTGCTGTCAATCATCTTTTCCATCTGCTGGAGATGATCAGTAAAACATCACTAAACCCATTTTTCATGAAAGCTTCTACAAGAGCACGTACTGCATAGGCATCTGTCTAGGAAATCTAGTGGTGACTTATATCAAATTCATCAACTAAATTTGTTGTCCAATGTTGATAAAGAAGCAAATGAAGTATGCTGTTTTCCCTGCTATTGAGAAGCTTTTCCTGACTGAACCTTCCTGTTTATGAGATGCTAACTTGCAGGATGATTTTTATCTTTTATTAGCTGTCTTTCTGTTCTTCAGCCATGATTATCATGTAGTGTAATGACTTCTTTCATCATTGATGCTCATATCTTTGTGTTTTAGCGGGTATCCATCTTATTTCTTTCAATATTTGATCAGCTACAGTAATTGAGAATTCCCTGCTGAGAGATGGATTGTTTTGCTCCTTTGGTCACCCTTTGCCTCTTCCTGAGAGAGTTCATATTTTGTGTGGGTGTGGAGTGGGAGGTGTTTGAGCAAAGAAAACTGCATATATTATTTTTAAAAAAATCATGGAAGCCTTTTATATATTGATATAAATAGATTCCATCCTCTCTTGTAAGAACTTCAACTAGGATATTTAATATCAGATTTACCATCTCAATTTTATTTGTTTTATGACAATCCAGTTCTACCATTTGTCACTTGCATCTGATGACTTTTCAGCCTATAGTAGAAATTCTTGGTTAGTTTTTAAGTGCATGAATTCAGATTTTGTGCTGTTGATTTAATCTTGTTTCTTTTACTCTTTCTTTACTCAGTCACAGAATAAAGTAGCATAAAAGATGATGCATTATCACTCCTGTTCTTCCTTGGAAATGCTGCCTTTATTTATTCAGATAATTTCATTCGCACTCATGATGTTGATACTGAGATGGGTTTTATTAATAAACACAATACTTGTTCTTTGGTAACTCTTCAAATAGTTAATATATAAAGCTACTTTACCTTGAAATGTGTACCATTGTCAACTACCCCTTTAGGGTATTTTTTTTCCTCACCTTGTATTCCAGTTGTCATCTTTTCCATCTGATGAAGTACTTAAAACTATTATAGGGCTAAAATTTAAACACAGATCTTCCGCTTGAGTAGAAAATCAATTAATTATCAGAAGTCAGGATGTTTTTTTTTCCACACATTTTTCTTTATGTGCATTGTTTCAAAATTGGGGTTTTTTTGTATGCTTTGGATTCACAAATGTCTAAATGTCTCCTTTGTGTCCCTTTTTTGAATGTATGTGATGTATTTGCTAATTATCTGATACCATTCCTGACTTTTGCTTGTATATGATTTGTACTAGTTCTTACTTTCTTAAGCATGAGGCATTTTTTATCTGTGTATTCGTTAATTCCATAGTCAGTATCATAACTATTATTAAAACCTGAGGTAAAACATTGCAGTTTTTTTTTCTTTGTTTTATGATATCCCACTTTTACTTGCTTAATCTTGTATGCTCTCTTGTGCTTCTTCTCTGGCTAGACAACCTTTACTTTTTACTTGGATTTTCTATGAAAAGTCTACCTCAGCGTGACTACTGACATTTTACATTTCCAAGGCTTCAGACTTCTATACCAACACTGTTTCCAACTTAACTTTTTTCCTGGCATCAGAGACTCTCACATCATGACCTTCCCCTTCCCCTGCTATAAGAGACATTCACTTATGAGGGAAATTCACTGTGTGCATCATGAATTCAGATGATTCGTCAGACGGTTGAAGAAATGACTAGCAGTTCTGCATATAGCAGATATCCATCTGGGAATCTTAGAAACTGTTCCATGCTGTTTGGACTATCCAAAAGCACAATTTTAAACTTTAAGCTGTGGCATCAGCTGAGGATTGTGATAAACGAAAGATGCTTGTACAATTATCTTGTTAATACTTTTAATAATAATCATCATAATCTGTTTAGATGAAAGCCATTGTACAGGACAAAGTTGCACAGATATTGATAATTCACTATGAAGTCCTTCTCAATGCCTTCCTGTCTAAGCTGCCTTGTGTGCTGCTACAAGAAGGGAATGTATTGTAACCGAGACACAGGTTTTTATTAGCATTTTATCTCCAGCTGGGTATGAGGGAACTTAAATTTTAGAGCAACATCAGGTTAAAGTGCTATTCAAATACGATGCTGTGTTTATTTACTTATAAATTATAGTAGTTGCAGATACTTTTTATGTTCAGGTTGCTATCTTGTAATAGAAGATGTTGTCAAGTACACTGGAATCTTTCAATTACTAGGACAATATATTAATTTCTTCCTTCTAACTTCAGACTTAAATCAACCAAGTCTTCAAACTGATTTACTTCTGCAGAAGACCTAAAAAAATAATATTGGTATTAAGCTTCATTTTTCTGTTCTGTTTGTTTAAAGTTTGTACAGCAATTTGCTGCAGAAGAATTGTAGACAATGATTTACCACATCCCCGATGTTGTCCACATGGTTCTAGGTAGAGCTGAAGTGCACATTTGTCAAAGGTGTTTATGGTGATGCATGGACATAACAATCATACCGCATAAAGGTGCATCACTTACCTGTTAGATGGTTGTGGCATGTATAGGAGGTAAGTATTGACAAAATTCTAGTCAAACATCAAAGTGTTAGGGTAGGTGGTAGATTCAGTCGTGATGCAAATAGCTTCACAATGTCACTCTTATTTTCACATTGTTGGCTTCCACCTGTCTGCTGTAATGTAAACTTCAGTTTCTGAAATGCCTCATTTTTTTTTGTCTCAGCCTTACATTGATACTTGTCTTTGAAACGCTTGTCTCAAACTTGCTGTCTTTTGATTTCCACAGCTGTCTATTTGGCTCTGCCCAATATTTCTTTCCAGTGCTTTTAGAATGACTTCCGTCATCTCCACTTTTTATGTACCTAACAGTTACATGTCTTCAGTCCCTGTGGTCACCCTCTGTCCTGCAGTAGCATGTTTCTAGATGAGATGCTTCTTAACATAAATCCGACCAACAATTTGCGTTTGTGGCTCACACTCATCCCTTGTACCTTACGTTGTAATTTTGACCTCCTGTAGTTGGTGTGGAGCACCACTGCAAGTCCAGCATAGCTAGAATAGAGCTCTCATTCTTGATGTGGTGTGTTGAACTCCTAGGGCCAACATTTCCTTGGTCTCTCTCGTGTTGCTGGAGCATTGGCTGCTGTGGCATGCACCCTTGACAGCAAGAGTGTAACAAAGAACAAATCTCACAAGGAGCTGCTGAGGGAATTGGGGTTGTTTGGCATGAAGAAAGGGAGGCTCAGGGTTAGGGAAAGAAAGAAAAATAAGAAAGCACTTCCTACATGGTAAAAAAAAAGCATCTAAATTACTTCATTTGCTGGAAAACTGGAATACATTTAAGCAGCTATGATATTCCTTAGATTTCTTGTCTTGACAGATATCTGTATAGTCAAAAGATAATACAATTTAAAATCAGTATTTTATTTCTCCTAAAATAAGCATCTTGTGTGTTTTCCTATAGGGTGAGAAAATGGAAGACTCATTTCTCCCAAATGTACCTTGGAACGCACTCAATTTACAATTTTGCCATTATAAATTGATTCTTGGCAATGTATATACTAGTGTTGCAGATGTAAGCAATTTCCAGATAAGACAGAAATGATCAATCATTCTGGTGACTGCAGTGTAGAGGAGGGGGGGAGAAAGTGATTCCATGGCAATTATGTTTTTGGGTGTACCGCTTCACAGCTCTTCCTGAACCTGGTTTAATCTGGCAGAAGGATGACTTCAGCAGCAGTGCCTGCTTTAATATGCTGTTTAATTAGTGATGGAACCTAGTTTTCTTTCTGACAAGCAATAAATAAATATGGGATAATTTCTAGATTACAGAATAGTAGTTGAAACAAACAGAAGGAAATCCATTTTGGTAAACTTTTCTTTGGAAACAATCTGTTTTCTGAGAACAACAGTCTATGAACTTTAGGGCAAGTGAGATAAGGATCCAAAGCAAAAGAAAATTATTCATAATAAAATATTTATGTGGTGATCAAGAACTGTGTTGTCCAGACAAGAACTGGACCAGCTGCACAAGTTTCATTCTGACATCCTCAAATCCTGATGTTCACCTTTGATAAGAAAACTATTATACTTGTGTGTAATAACTTTTTTTAAAGAAAGATACTGACGGCAAGCAGGATGAATAGGTGGGATGGGCAGCTCTGTGCTGAGTGTGGGACAGAGAAAAAGGTAGGGAGTGATGGGCAGCTATGCTGTTAGAACAACAGCCCATGCCACAGAGGTTGTGTACATCCTGATTTTGATGTTTGGAAGATAATGGGCTGAATCACTGGTGTCTTTCTTCTAGGGCCTGTTTTAGGACTACTTGTTTGCTATTTGACCTGTTTGGTGGTTTTATTGCTGTGTTTGCTTTTCTTAACAAGCACAGAAGTAACAAGAGCTTCTCTGTTTCTCTGCAGCTTTTACGAGAGTTGAAGCACCCAAATGTGATTGCATTGCAGAAGGTTTTCCTTTCTCACAGTGACAGAAAGGTTTGGCTGCTGTTTGATTATGCTGAGCATGACTTGTGGGTAAGTACAGATTTCCCTGAGTATTTGAGATTGTGCAATAAGACTTTATTCAAACTGATATGTGTGTGATGTACCTTTATATAGGCAGAGATGCATTAATGTGTTACTTTGTAATTAAGGGTCTAACTGATAATCCTGTTAATTTTACACTTTAAAGCTTGCCAAAGACTACATAGAAATTTTGAGTCAGATTGGGTTTTGAAGTGAAAAGGAGTTTTCTGCAAGCTTTAATTAGAGTTAAAGAAAGCATTCCTAAATTAAGAGCTTGTTTGGAAATGTATTTAATGCTTTTTTTCTGACATTTTGCACATAGACACACAAGAAAAAAAGGAGAGGGACTGCTTTGATGAGTCCTCTCACTGAGAGTGACTGCAAGCGACTAACATTCAATCATCTATCTTTTAAACAGAGAATTTTTGACAGTATGAGTGGAAATAAAATAACAAGTAAGCTAATTGGGCCTACTGATGGACACTCATTACATGGAAGAGGAGTAGTGACTTAGATGTCTGTTTTTAAGTTTCTAGCAAAATATGATTGGATTTAGTTTAGTCTGTTGTAGAGGTGGACATCAGTAACATTGTGACTTGAACTTGAAAATATTCAAGCTCCACATCTGTTGATAAAATGTGAATTACTTGAACCTGAATTTGTGTTTAAATCTGAAAGATATCAAGCACGAAGTGTAATCAATATGTTTATGATTCCTTTGAAAATATTGGCAGAGAGGGGAAGTGGTAATTTAAATTCCAGTATTACATTTGAAGGCTTCAGTAATGCAGATGTTGCCATTACAAATGTTAGTGACAAATTGCTCAATTTCTTCTTCCTTGGCTCTTGTAGCTTGTAAATGACCCAAGATTTTAATTGGTTAGCAAGTAAACTTAGACAATTCAAAAAGACACTTCTGTCTCAGAACATGTAAAATCATGGTAATTTGTTCCCCTTCAAAAGCTTGAAAGATATTTGATTTATTTCTCTTATGGGCCAGCATGTTTGTATTTTGCAAGTTTTCTTCATCACAGTTAAGTGGATAGAGTTTGTGTATTTCACATAACTGGGGTAGTGATGATGAAGAGAAGTGCATCAGCTAAATTTCTGTATGACAGACTTTATTTGTGCATTAAATGAGTTTACTCATTTATGGAACAGTCATAACACATTTTACTGCTACATTTATTGCCATGTGTTTTAAACCTTTTTTCCTAACCTTTTCCATTCGCGTATGGTTTTTACGCTACACAGTGATTTTTCACATTATTTAACAGCTTCAGAAGAAGAATCACTGCAGTTTGATGTTCTTGCTACTCCTCCCATATGGCTGAGTATTATAATCTCAGTGAAGTTATTTATTTTCTATTATTTAAGACTAAAATGTTTGTTACAATGAGGTTCTTGATATGAACTGGTCTCCCACTTCCTAACTCTCTTTTGTTTTTATTTTTTTCTATGGGACATGCTACACAAGTCATTTCTCCTTTCCTGTGTAATTGCCCATGTTTCCTCGCTTCTTAAGCCTTTGCCAGGAATTTTTTCCTCCCTTGCATAAAGTTGGCTGTGTTCAAGGCACTCTTGGTTCTGGCTTAACCTTGGTCCTCATTTCCTTTACTGTCAGCACTTCCCAAGCATCGCTCTTAATTCCCCTTTTGTCTGTTTTGCTCACTCCCAACTTTGTGTCTTTTTCCACGCTGCCTCCTACACATGGAACAGCCTCCCAATTAACGTACGTAAAGATCCTTCACTATCGTCCTTCAAAAAACTCCTGAAAATCCACTTATTTTGTAACGCATTTCAGTAATACCAACCACTTGTCATCCTGTCTGTGTTGTGTTGTGTTTTGCATTTCCTGTGCTTTACAGCTTGCGCCCTTTCAACTCTTTGGGTTAGAAATTTTAGTAGGGGTTTAGCAGTTTTTTTTTATTGCTTAGCACCATGTGCTTTGCCAGCACTACATAAAGACAAAATAAGTCTATTTATTATGGATATATCCGTTTTTCAAGATTTAAGTTTTAGAATTAAAGGTATACTGTCACTAGAGACATGTATTTTTCCATAGACTAATGTTTTTAAATGTAAGTAGCTTAGAGTTACTTACCAAAATCAGTAAGTATGGAAACTGTATTTCTATTCAAAGCTGCAAAGCTTTTAGTAACTCCTGTTGGCTTCAGTGAGAAGAATAAATGCTCATCACATTCAATCATGAGATTAATTAAAATCATTATATTTTTCAGCTTCTGTACTGGAAACATTGGCAAGAGATGAATAAACTGTATTAGATGCTATGCTATTCTGTTAATTTTCTAATGCTGAAAAAATTGTCCAGTTCTAAAAGTTTGGTGCTAATTAAACTTATTAAAAAGTTCTTCTATGGTGAGCAAAAACTTTTTTTTTTTTTTTTACTTCTCATTTAGTTCCCAAGAATTAAAGAAGAAACTGCTCAGATCTGTATTTTTATGTTTAGATAGCACATACTTCATAATGTTCTGCAGCTTTAGCCGATACCATTACCAAGGAGTGTAGAAGCTTTGCTAATTTGAACAGCTTTAGGCGATTATTGGTGAACACCCATTCTGCTGTCCTTGACAGCCAAGATAGTCATCAGTTTTAATAACTAAGCCTATCAAAGATACTTACTTTCCTTATCTCTCAATATACATTGTACAAAACAGTGCAAAACCATAAAGCATATCTAAAAATATAGGAATTCTTTTGACAAATTGATTTATAACTAGTTTCCTTTGAATTCCTCACCAGAATTCTTTGTGTAATACAAGATGTTATGATTTTTCTTGGCTCTTTGTCTCTGCCAAAGAGAACTGGTAAAGTTCTCAGGCTGTAGGTTGTTAACTTTTTATTTTCAAAGGTCAAAAATTTGTTTCAAATGCCAGAGTTCCTGCTGTCTTATCAGCAAAAGAATAACTTCTTTTTTCGTTGAACTTTTCATGGATGTTCTTTATAACCCTAGTCTTATACTTCTACACAGTATACTGCTGTCCAGAACTTCCTGCATAAAGCTAGTGCATTTAAAGACATCATTCAAATATATATCATATGCTTTAAATGCATGATGATTACTAAAATGGACTTTAAAAAAAGTTTAATACAAATGAGATCTGTCCCAGAAGTGAATTTCTTGTCAATCTAGTTGCTTTTTACCACTGTAGAGGTTACAATATTTAGAACTTTTCTTTTGCTCCCTTTTACAGTAGATTTCTAATTTTGAAAGTATTTTCTAAAGCTCACGTTCTTAGTACCATAGATAAATACATCTGATGACTTCAATTTCATAGTCTCTATACGTTAAGCAGGATTTTTTATTCTAACCAACATTTTTATTATAACGTTTTAACAACTTTTTGTAATGACAGGTTATCTATATACCTTTACTAGCTATGGTACAGAGTTAATTCCCAGACTCATTTAGTATGTCTGTATAATGCCAAATTTTTAAGATCCCCTTTTCTGGAAATATATGTTGTAACTTAAATAAGAAGCTTCTGGATGGGTTTATCTCATTCTGAAGAAGGGTGACATTTTTATCATACTAAAAATGTATTAAATGTGTTTTATAGCAATAAAAACCACTGCTGTATAAGTAAGTACATAAATAATTAACTATGATTTGGTAATATTGAATGTGATGATACATTCACTATCCCAGACCAGTTAAACCATGATCTGTGAATTTTTTCAATTAGGTTGAATGTTTCTCTTTTATTATTAGATTCCAGTGATCTCCTACAACTAAATCCTTAGCAACAAATACTACTGAGAAATGTGGAGTAAAATTAATCTTGGAATTATTGTTGATAATAATAAAAATATATGGGCAGACTGACTTTGTTTTATACTAATTACTTGTATATGTTCTGCTTTTGAAAAATATAGGGTAGAGATTATTATCACAGTCATGAGTACCTAAAAGTAATCATCAAATAATGAAAAGGAGAAACTATTCTTCCTACATGTGAATTTCATAGCACTACTTGATGCTCTCAGTCTACAAATAAATATACTATATTTCAGCTAACAACATTTTGAATAATCTTTTATGATAAATGAAATTGGGAGAGTGTTGCATACTGATGTGTAAATAAACCTGTTCATTTGTTTAATCACATGAATATTGTCTAACAGCTGAGTTTTAACATATTCCTTAAGTATGGTATGATCAATTATAATTCTTTCTTCAACAGGCTTCAGTTTAGCTCTTAATCATAAATATAATTCAGATGATAGTTGATGACAAATATCTTTATATACATAAAAATACTTTTCTCGGTGTAACAGTGATGGGGGTTTTTTAAAATCTTTTGATCTCTTTAAGTCATGTCTACACTTTTGGTGTAATTCAGGTGATTCTGCCAGGTGGTTTTTCACACAGTCCTCTCTCTTGTATACATATCTACCAATATAGGCTGGAAGAAGAATATAAGGTTTGTTGAGACACAAGGGAATGGGCTGGCATAGGTCTTTATGTCATGATTGATTCCTTCCAAGTGAAATAGATGGGGTTTTTTGACCATCAAAATGATAGTTGAATTTCTTGCAGAGGGCAGTGCCATTCCTTGCCCATAGCTGTTTGTCATATTTTCAAAACATACACTTGCTTTTTCTGCCAGACTTGTATGAATTTGAAGGTAGTTTATATGGACTCATTTTCTGCACCACAAAGCATGAGAAGTGGAGGAAACAACAGGTAGGAGCAGGCCTCAAAACAAAGACAAGGCTCAAAAGCATAAATGTGTGAAAAACTAAAGTGAACAGAGTGGTGTATTCCACTTTTATGTGTACTGAAAGGGTATCTGAATTCTGCTGATGTTTATTAACACTGTATAGAGTTATTTTGCAATATTTAGGGCTGAAAGTACTAAAAGACCTAGAAAGATGCAGGCAAAACCTAGGAAAATTATATGGGATTTTTTTGTGGATATGTATTATATGGCATGTGTTTGATCTGTGTTTCAAAGCTTAGATATTTAAAGCAAGCTGGCATTAGC